CTTGGTGGAGCTACAGAAGGGGAGGGAGGATTTGGATAAACAGAATGTGGGAGAAGGGAAATCTTTAATTTATTCCCTGGAATAGTGGAGGCAAATGTGGCTGTGGTATCACAAGACTGACAGCACATTGTGGGTATGTCAGCTATGTCTCCTATCTGGCATGTCTGTAAGTGCTAGTACATGATGAGACAAGTACTGTTAATTGGGTCGTTGTGCAAGAGCCCTGCCACAGCCTGTGGTGCCGGGCCTTGTTCAGAAGGACAAAAACAGAATAGTCTGATTCCAAGAGACATAACCATGATACTTTTCTGCCTGAAAGGATACATTTGACATATTGAATCACCAAGGTAGGTTTACCTTGACAGAGCATTCTTCCTGATGATATGTTGCTTAGCCTGTATTGTCTGATGAGATCAGCCAACATTCAGCATGGCTGACAAAAGACAAAAATGTTGATAAAGAGCTGAAAAATCAAGTATGCTTCAGGCCTCCTTAGCATCATTACAGATTCAGAAAGATCCAAGATAGAGAAGTATTTCCAGGCTGCTGCAGAGAGAGTAATTGCTTCCTTACCTTTGAAGATCTCCAAACATGTGAAAGCTCTGTTCTTCTCCCTTCCTTTCTGCAACTGACAACTTTGTGAAATTGCTAAATAAGAGCCATCATATGTTTCATATGAGCCTTCCAGACCCTTGTCTTTCTCAGATGAGAACCTGATACTCCCCCTTGGCTGCAGTGATCCGATTCTTTGTGCAGTTTTTTTGCTTATGCAAGATATTCCTATTTTGGATCAGTAGAGGTGAGAGCTGCAGCAATGCCCCTTGTGATAAAGGAGAGACACAGAGGGCACTAGCTCCCCATGGTGCTTGCTTGAGGCATGAAGAACACAGCCTTGCTTTCCTTGCTGGAGGACCACCACTTGCAGAATTCCTTGCTGGAGGCAAGCAACCAGCCCACAGTTGCAGCCAGAATTGTCTGTGCAGAATCACAGAAGGCAGCAGTAAAAGTTCTGTCTTTCCTGGTTTTTCCCACTTGGTACAAGTCTAGTACAACCAATTCCCTTTTTGAGGTCCTCTTCACTATCATCCTGGGGCTAACTCTTCCTTCAGAAGAAAATTGAAAGAACTGCTGTTCGCTAGGCAAATCCAGCCACCAGGGTTTATGAATTCATACATGGAGTTGCTCCCAGGGGGCAGAAAATATTCCCACCCACTCTAGAAAGCTCAGCAGACTCTGGTGTAGCATCCCTGGATCATCTGCCCCCTCTCTAAGGCTCCAAAGGGGACAGCAGCAGGGTTTATGAGTGTTCAGGAGTGCACTGAAATGCACTCTGAGAAGTGTCAGGCAGATTTGCTTAGATAACTGTGGGCAAAATTAGGTATTACTTACACACTTTTCTCCTATTTTCATGCTTTGGTGAAACCAGTATTTCTTAGCAATCATCTATGAAGAGAGCTTTTACAATGGCATTGCTGCCCAGGCATATTTTTTGTCTCTAATATGATAAAGTAATGCTTTCTCTTTATTTCTAGCATCATTCAGAAAGTTAGTGGCATATGAATGTGGAATATTAATAATTTTTCTTTTGCTCTAGCCCTGGTGTGAGAATGGCATTGTGTGGAAGGATTTAATGTATCAACCTTTAATTTTGTTTGGTTTGCAGTCTACTAGCCAGAAGAGACAGCTTGGTTATCTTTGGGTAAATAGTAAATGAATCTGCTTATGTATAAATGAAGTTTCAATGTCTTCTATGCTCTGAAACCTCTCCCTCTCAGAGCAGCAGTCTTTGTGTAAGGGGAGAATCTGCCTTAGTTAAAGAGATCTGAGCATGTCCATGCTTCTGCCTCTGTCCTTCTTACACAGCTCAGTGCTGGGCTTTCAGTGGGTGACGGCCTCTGCCCTGTTCTGTAGGAAGATTCACCAGCAGGTACCTCCTGCTAGCCTTGGCTTAACCGCCTTGTTCCACTGATGGAAGGCATTCTGCAATGGAAATCCAAATCCTGGCCCTAGCAGGTGCACTTGTTTTCAAATGAAAGCAAGCTATCTGGGAATTATATTGTAAGAGCTGTGTACTAGTATAAACCTTGTTTTACAGTCATATCTTTTCAGTCAGGCTGAGGGAGTCCTTGTGTGGTTAGTGAGTGTGATTTGCGGAGTTAAGAAGAAAAAGAAAAGAAACATGCTGCCACCTGATGATTTACTGACCTCCTTCTGAAACAAAGAAACAAACCAAAAGCCAACAAGCCATTAAGTGAAGCAAGGGTGGTACAGTTTCTGACGGCTGAAGCCCTTTGCAGAAGTGTTTGCAGGTATAACATTTTCCCATGTCTGTTCATCCATAGATAGGGAGAAGAGTCATAGGGTGAGAAGAACTAGCCCATCCTTATTTATATGTGCCTGCCAATGCACACCCAGTGGTACCCTGAGGTCATGCCTCATCACCTGAGGCTGTTTAGGCCTCTCCATTTCTTTCCATGCTCCCTCAATCCTTCCAATTTAGAGTGCGATTACTTGCTCATTGGTCTGCAGTACTTACTTGTGGGTACAGAAGTCTTTTCTGTTCTCTAAATCATGAGTAATAATGAAGCAAATTACTACCAAGAGAAATTCCTCATGTTGCTGATCATGCCGTTTAGGAATATATGAGTTCTTGAGACGCAGGCTTAGCCTTCCAGTGCAGAGAAGGCAAAAGAGAGCAGTAATGTATTCCCAGAGCTGAGAAGAAACCAAGGGCCAGCCATTAGGGGCTAATGTACAGTGAAACCCTCTCAACTGGCTAATGAGATCCATGGCTTATAGCATTTAAGTAGGTGGAATTTTAATAATTTCATTACTGATCACAACCCCTACATTGCGTTGTTGATCTCTGCATTCTCTTTTCTACTGTTGTTTTCAAGTGCATCTTAAAATGCATATCAATTAATCTGGTGAAAATTGGAATAAAGTAAAATTTGTAGTTTTAAAAAATAGCCAATTTGACACATAATAATCAGCTAGCTTGACAGGCTTAACAATAAAATGTTGTTAAGACATCACTGTGGAAGAAGAGACTGTGTATTAAGTTTCTGACAGCTGCATTCGTGTTTACAGCTTTCAGAAACCAAACAGCTTTATAAAAAGCATTATAATTTCAGTAGAACAAAGCAATATTGCTTCCATTGCTCATCTATGCCAGGAACAATTTTCAATGCTTTCTCTCAAGTCCTTAAAAAAACCATTTTCTTTCAAGAAAGCAATAGGTTTTGAATAAACAGTGTACTATACAGAGCTACTTAAAGACCAGTAAAAAAAGTTTTCTAGAGAGAGCTGAATTTCTTAAAGCTGTGAATTTATTAAAATTTAGAAATTGCACTCCTGATCCGGAAGTTATTTATGATGTGACACTAATTCACTGAAAACCTTAGCTGCAAAACATTTGGTGACTGAGTTACAGTGGTGGAAACTAGCACCCTAGGAGAGGGACAAACCTGCTCATGAGGCTCAGAGGGTTCCCTCTCTGCTGATAGTGGGCTTGGTATCAATATACAAGATGCAACAACTCTGATAGGAAGAGAGAGACTTCCTATGAAGGGACTTATCACAGAATGCTGTCTAACGCATCACCTCAGGTACTTGCCTGGGTTGGAGTAGGCCCAGGATAGAGTTCATTTTCCATCAGGCTCCCAGTGGTTCCAGTTTAATTGCCCCTACAGTTAATTGTGTGTACAAGCTGAAACAGTCTGTTCCCACCATGGCTGATGATCTGGTAAATAATGATCTGGGAAGTGGCAATGAGGGTTTTGTTCTTTCCAGCACAAGGGGGAAACAAACCTAAAACTATTACAACTTGGGCAATTTCCTTGAGCATTGAGTATCCCTACTGATATTTTTATTTTTGTAGTTCATTGCTAAGGTATAAAAGAAACTTGACTTTTATTTTGTTTCCTTTTCTAATGAGTACGCTCAAATGGAATATAACAATTTGTATTGAATGGAAGGTCTCTTGTAAAATTTACAATATTTTTACATGCCTGTAAATTCCTTTGATTTGGATTTGATGGATTTGAATAAATCTGTTTCATCCTTTTTTGAGAGGATTAGTCAGACACATTTGATTAAATTTTATCTGGACCAATGGCCTTCAATTACTATGGTTCAGACCCTGAACACTGAAAAATCACTCTGTTGTAGGACCCTATTAGTTCCCTTCTATCCATCTAGCAGAATGCAAATGTTATAATTTGAGAAGCCCATGACTGATTTGGAGATACTCTTGTGTCTTCAACCAGTAGTCTCTGTAGAGGAGTGCACTGTTGTGCTGACACTGGCATTTACACACGATTTTTTGAACACTGCATCTCAGTTGAAGAGTATATCAACACCTGCCCGAACTGGGCATTTTCTGGGTGATAAAGCAATTTCCATGTAAGTTATTCTGCAGTGCTAGTATTTTCAACTCTATAGACAAATGGTATGTGAGATACAGGACTCTGTAATTTAGCAGGAGAGCAGTAGTGGGTGAGATTTTCCGTGAATTCTACGTACAGTGTGAATATATGTAGGGGATTGTGTATTTCAGTGACTGAATGAAAAAACTAAATGAAAGGTTGACATTATTATTATTTTAATTATACTGCATGTATATTTATTCTACTTCAATTAAAAGAACAACTCAACTACAGTACGTTTGCCCTTGTAGATTTTTTATTATTTCTGCTCAAATGCATTGTGGAGGAACCATAAATGTCAGTGTTCTTTCTCCTCCTGTATCCCTATCCAATCTCTTCCTTAACAGTATTGCCCTGCACATTGCACATTGTACATTGTAGCTCATCACGGTGAATCTCAACTGTAGAAGCTGAAAAACCGAGAAGATTATGCCTTTTAAAACTGGGCAGAGTAGGCATTTTGTGTACTGCAGTTTTCTGGGGTGCTTACAGGAATTACTTTTTTAGTAAACTGTTGTATTATCCTAAGTGTATGGGGATGTTGTACTAAACTTTGACTCCTTCTTTTAACAGGCTGTGAAAGAAGAGACCTCTTTTGTAAATCCCAGTAAGACCTCCAGCCTGCAGGACCCTAATGTAAGGTCTGTTGCTTCTTGTCCGTAGGGAAAGCGTCAAATGAATGCATGATATAGTGAGGCATTTTCCAAACATTATCTCGAACTGTTGTTGCAGTTCAATTTGCTCATCTCCAAGTTGCTGTGTAAAATTCACCAAGCAATGACCTGAGGAGAAGGTGGTTGCCAGAACAGTGCTTATTTTTTGCACATATATCAGGTGCAGTTTAAGAATTAATAAAAGCTCAGCTTCAAAGATCAGACTGAGTGTATATACCTGAAAAAATTAGAAAAGCTCAAGATAAGGAATCTGGTCTAGTGATAATCTTAGAAAAGCTTATATAAAAATAAGTCTGTTTTCTTAACTTTTATATCAGAAATGTGCTAGATGTCCAAACTAGACTATCCTTGTGTTTGTGTTTTTTTGATTTGTGCAAGGTCTTTTGAAGAAGAAGAAGAGGCATTTGGTAAATCCTTTGGAAAAATGGCTCATTTTTAGACAGTAGTGACTGCTTTTGATTGTACTTTTCGTCTGTTGATAGTGGATAATAGTCTTTCTTTTTTGGGGTGGCCATTTTGAAGAGGCATATTAATTGTAAACATTATTTGAGTGGCACAGTATACTGTCTTTCAGCAGGTGATTAGAAAGGAGGTTACAGTATGTGTATTTGGAAATTGCCTATCTCTATATGTACGGTAGTACCATCACTTTGGACACCCTTAGTGTCAAAATCTGAGAGTTTGATGGAAAAATATTATAGACGTAAAGCATGGCAACCACACCGGCTGTTAATCAGCTAATTATAGTGTATATGCTTTATATATATATATATATATATTTATGTATATGTAATATACATATGTACTAGAACACTAGTCATCTCATGATTTTACTTTATAACTTTCTGATGGTGACTCTTGCAACTGAAAGTAGACATTTAAGTATCTTGTAGAAAACTCCGGTTTAGAGGGGTATTGAGTTATATTTGACAATTTAAATCATCCTGAACTCAAAAACAAACACTTATAGTTGTGAAAATTTGTCAACCCTTTTTTCAAATGTCTGTCTTTCCTATAAAGAGATAATTCAGCACTAGTCTCCAAAAAAGATTTCATTCAGAAATTCCTTTCTGGTCAGATTGGACTAGCAGAGTTGCTATTTTTCTTAGTGAAAGCAGACAAGAACAACAATGATGGTTGTTGGTGCTGAGGCAGGAGGAGATACAAGAGGGGATGCTTTTGCCTCCCATGGCACTGACTGGCTTGCTTGCAGTGCAGCTGTCATTCCCAGCTCCCCATGTCTCTCATCTCAAGTTATCTTGCAAAGCTGTAATTTCTAGCCTGATAGGCCATGATTCTCTCATTTGTTTGTCCAAGAGTCTACAAAGTCTACTTGATATTTAGAATCACCCACTTTTTTCTGTGCTCTTGCTCTTCTTAGACCTCTACAAAACTTCCTTAAGAAAATTCTTTTCTTTCTTAAGAAAATTCATGATGTACGTGGCAAATTGACCAATTTCTTTGTTCAATAGAAAGGGGTTTCAAATATTGTCTCCACCACAACACCCTTTGTTGGGTTGGCAGTCACTTCCAGAAGCAGTTCAAGAGAACCTGGTTTTATAGCCCTGTGTGATTGGGAATGTGGCTACAGACTTTTTTTCCTTAATCATTTCTGCTGAACTTCTGCATAACATCTGAGATTAGCTCAGTTCGTTAGAGCACGGTGCTAATAAAACCAGTGTCATGGGTTTGATCCTGGTACGGGCCATTCACTTAAGAGTTGGACTTGATGATCCTTGTGCATCCCTTCCAACTCAGAATACTCTGCTGGTTCTGATATAAGATATCTATAGAAAAGCCTTTCTATTTCACATTTTGGAATAGGCTTTCTCCTGTTTCATCATGGTGAACTGCAAATGAGTTGTCTGCTTTGTGAGGTGAAGTATTATTCAGTATGAGGTAAGGATGGCAACCTGGCTGCAAAGCTAATTTTACTGTTTTCGTTTGCACACCTCCAAGTTTATAAATTTATAAAAGTTAGTTTGGCGTTCTTGTTATGCAGCAGTCTGGTGTATATTCGTCTAATATTTATTTCTATTGGGTTTATTTCAAGCATTGTTTCCTCTACAGTCAGTTGTGCCAAATGAAATGTTATCAATGTTCAGGGATAGACCAATTTTAGGGGATAGACCGATTTTAACAGCCTGCATTCAAAACTCAGAGAAAAATGCAAAATAAATCCAAAGTCCAACCAATTCTTTTTCTCCTTCAAGCAGCTTTCCTTTCTGCAGGGATATATACACCCTCGGAGCCAGCCAGCATGTGACCTATTTGCTGATAACATCCTTTATAACCTCTATTTTGTAGAATTTGGTGGACCTAAATGAGCCTTTGCTCTACTAGAAATTGCATCTGAACCAAGGGTTAGTTCATACTGGGAGACAAATCAGCTGGGAGTTTTTCTCTTCTTTAGTTGAGACAAGCAAAAACATCCTTTGTAAAAAAAACCTTCCTCAAGGAATATGATTTTTATTTCTGCAAGTACGCATGCAGACATTTCTGTAGACAGCACCTCTGAGAATCTTTGAGGACTGTTTGCTGAAATATCTTGCCAGTTGAAACCAGTATCTGTCACAGCTTTCTAACAGTACTTCAACCTTTTCATGCAAGGGGTTTATAGCAGGGACAGTGACTTCGTGTATTTGAATACTGATGACTATACAAAACACTAGCAAAATGCTGGGTTTTTTCCAAAGCCAAGACACAGGGAAATTTTTTCAGGCCAGCTAGTAAGCAAACATATGCAGTTTTGAGCATTAACTGAAGCACGAATTGTTCATGCAAATAGGGAACTAGAAGATGAGGGAGGGGGGCAGTAGTGCTTGTTTAATTAAAAAACTGTGCTCTCTTTGCTACCATTTTGTCCGCTCATCCATTGCCACTCTGAATGTTACACTTTTAATGAATTAACTGCTTGGATATGGCCTGTAATCTCCCTGAGCAATTATTTTAGCATCTGCCATGGCAGACTCAATTTGGCTAACAATTGCTATAACTCCATGTAGAATTAGTTCTGGTTCAACTAGTAAGTACTCATATATATGTGTGGTATAGCCACTTTGACTACAAGCAGGTCTCCAGTCATTTTGTTGGGCATGGCCTCAGGGATAATGTGCTTATGTAAAGTTGTCATGTATCAATCAGTTTATCTACCTATTTTCTGTGTCTGCTGGCAAACTGTGAATACTTTTTTATTTAAGTAATTTTAAATATGGGAGGAAAAAAATCACAGCTGAAGCTGAAATAGCACTATTTTGTCAGATTTCAAGAGGAGAAAACTTGTGAAATTTGCTCTGTCATTTGGTGCACAGGCTGGAAGTGCAAAGTTGTCTCCTGATCTTCCTGTTAATAGGTAACCTGTACAAATCAGATTAAACTGATGTAGAGTCAGAGCAGACTGCAGTTCTCTCTCCCTCCCTGCTTTTGGAAAGCATTGTTTCATGTCTCTATAAGTTTTCCTCCTCTGGATAGGATTTTTTTTTTCTCCCAAATAGTTTCAAGTACTGGTTCCCACATTTAGGGAGGAAAAAGCTGGTGATTTTGTAACCCAATATGTGCTACAGTGTCCTAGCTTACATTGCCTTTAATCCTCCATTAAGACTGATAGAATGCACTATGAATTGGGACATAGTTGTACCTTCCCCTTGCTGACCCTGCTGCTTTGCTGATAACCCTTAACAAAGCAGCAGATCTGGACAGTGGCTATAGGGAAGTTGTATGGTTACCTCAGCTGGATCCTTCCAGACTGCACGTGACAGAGCTCTCAGCTGAACAAAGTAAAATGAGAGCAGCTGACAGGAGGGGAATTTCTATAGCAGGTTAAACAGCAGAGCCACGAGTTATCTTGATAAGACACAGGAATCCTACCAAGAAGAGTTAGACATTTCCTTTATCACAGCACTGTTGTAACAGACTTGAAAGCACGCACATTTTCTTCAACAACAAAGTAATATGTACAGAGAAGTACAGCCCAACTATATAGCTAAGCTGTAGGTATTTTGGACAGGGCAGAACAGAACATTGGTTTATGGAAGAAGAAATACCTGAAAAAAACGTGTTATTTATGTATTTCAATTATTTTGCTTTTTATATTGAATCAAGAAGAGATATGGTTAGTTTGCAGTTAACACTTTGCATAATGAGGCATACTTTGTTAAGGCATGTAGTAAAAATGTGTTTGTGTGAACTTTCGTATAGTTTGGAATTTTTAATGCCAGTCATTTTACAATGTTTTTTAATGGTACTTCTTTTAGGATGTAGGGTCCAAGTGTGCAAGGGAAGAAGTGATCATGTCAGTCCTTTTAAAGACCAACAAAAGGAATTCATCTTACACTAGAACTAGAAAAGCCTTTCTGACAGAACAGTTTCTTCTTTGGTGTTGTCATGATGGAAAATGAGCCAGAAGGGATTATGAGGAGGTATTTTCCTATTTGTTAGAGAATTCTTTACACCCAAGTATCTGACGCAGTGTCCAGATGGAAGTGTCGAGAAAGAAGTGTTCAGGGAGAATTTGCTGATTAGATATTTAATTTAATTCAGGTTTGAGAATGTTCCTAAGTATAGTTTTGGTAAGTCTCTCATCCCCTGCCTCCACCAATTAGGATTTTTTTATTTGATTCCTTTAGCCTTGAGAGATCAGGGTTCCAGCTGTCTGCCAGAAACATTTGTATAATGAAGGAAGTATAAAATATTATACTAAATATAAAAATGAAAACTGTAGTCAGTCAGTTTCTTATCACCACTGCTCACACTTTCCTCTTGATCCAGTGCCTGGCTCATCTACTGATTTGGAATGCAGAGGTTTCTCTCCTGAAGGATATCAAGTGAATGTGAATCACATAGTCACCTTTCCACCTTTTTATAGACCTCTCCTATTTCTCAGTATAGGGATGGGTTGCTAGAAAGATAACCTCTTGAACTTTCTTTCCAGAAATTTACCACCTAATTGCCAGCCCTCTGCATTTATT